TCCGCCTGGACCTTCCTGCCCTGGCATCGGCCAACCTCAGGGTGCTTAAGCTCTCTGGTGTTTACATAAGTGCCAGGAGTGGTTCTGCTCTTGGGAATGACAGCTGCTCCTGCTTCTTTCCTGACTTGATGCTTCTGGAGGTGAGGGATGTGCGAACGTGGCGTGGAAAGCACCTGATGGGGTCTCTTGTGCGAAACTTTCGCCATGAGCTGTTGCTGCACTGTCCGAACCTCCAGGTCTTGTATTTGGACTCGCTTCCACGCTCCTCCCCTCTTCCCGTTCTGCATAAGCTCCAAGTGCTGGTTATTGGCATGTACGTCAACTCGGGAGCCTCTCTCGCTTCCCTCTCGCAGTTTCTTTCGCTGCACACCCTCCGCTTCAATGGCATTTTCAGCTATGTTGGGATGATTGACGGAACGGTGTCGTGCCCCCCGAACCTCCGAAGGCTGCAGATCTGCGCAAAAGATTTAACATGTCTGCCGCGTTTCATATGGAGATTCACATCGATAAATCAGCTGGACCTCATGAATTGCTCTAAGCTGAATACGCTGTTTAAAAATCTGTACTCGTTGTTTCCTTCCCTAGAGTGCTTGAGAGTGGATGGTGGTGGCATTTAGAAGTATTTTCCTGTGTGTAATAACATGTAAAGAGTATAATCCCTTTTGAAATTGTTTTTATGCTGGGGAATTGAGATACGCGCCAAGAAGCAGGAGGGAAGCGAATGTTCAAATTCTCTGACACATCGCTGCATCCAGCAAATCATGAACAGTGTCAGCCACAAGGTCGCGCGAGCAGGCGACTTCGTCGCCCATCTGACGGCGAAGCGACACGGATCCACCCATTCACCAAACCATGGTTCAAATCATGTTTGGGAGCGGCGAAACATTAAACCGCTCTAGAATCCACACTATTGCTGTCAACCGTTTCATTGAAGGGAATTGAACAAGCGTGACATGCCCTCATGGTTTCCCCGCCCCGGTCATCCATGGATGGATGGATTCACCATCACGTCGTTCTGCAGCAGCCATGATTTTTGCTTGCCTCGCTCCCGTAGTTCTGCTGGTATTAGTTCCCCCCACCCCCACCATTTCCTGACACCATTTCGAAGCGCATTGCTGATTTCTGATTCCTTGATTGCCTCGCTCTTTGACTCAGCTAACTCCACGTCACCATCTTCAGCATTCCCTAGATTTCCCTACATCATCAGCATCATCGGCACCATCATGCCAGAGCCTTTTTAACAAATCCCTTGAGCTAACTTATTATGTTCGTCGAGTCTGGAGGGATTTGTTGCTAGCAGACCGAAGTTTGTTTCTCTAGATTAAGCACTTTCTTCTCGCGTTGACAATGCTCCGGTGAGAAACTCGTAAGCTTATTTTAGGAAACCGTTTTCAATCCGAGCGTTACCACATTCGGATTCATAGCTTCCTTGACTCCTGCGTCGATTCATATCTTTCCGTGTTTGGAGGAACTGTAACTCGCGTGCAGAACGGTAACGCGGGTGACGCCATGGATTGCGTTGACAGCCAGCAACCAATCGGAATCATGAACAAACTTAGTGAAGCTAAGAATGAGAGCAGAGAGGAGGAAGAACGCGAAGCGCGTTTCGAGCGAGAGCTGGAGGAGCTGATGAAGGCTCTGGAAGAGGTGGTATTGTCGAAAACGACTGACGAAAATCCTGGCGACGAGTTACCGCGTAACGAAGGTGACAGCGACGAATTTCCGTCTATGCAAACCCCCCCTCCAGCAGCAGCAGCAGCAGCACAGAGACCCAGCAGATCTCAGAAGCAGGGACGTACGGAAACGGAAAAGAGTAATGACAATATACAAGGCAGCAGTCCGGCTAGTGTACTGGTAGGTGTAGCTAACTCGCCTTCGCCTTCTACTGAATCTCCTGTTAACGAAAGTCCTTCGGATTCCTGTCGCCCGCCTTACACTGCAACGGGTCACGCGACGACTTCAGGGGATGTTATTTCCGGGTCGAGCGGAAGGGCTCCGAAGTCCCAGGCTTTGTTACCCGAGGCGGCGCGAGTCGCGCGCGCAAAGCAGCGCGAGAAAGCGGTAGTGAAGAACCAATCGCTGGGCCACGCGGATGCGGGACGCGCCAGCTGGAACGCGTTCATTGGACGCAACAACCCGGTGTCAGAAAGTGCCGCAGAAGGACTGTTTTCCTCGGGAGCTTCGGGTGCTTCCTCCGTCGTGTCGGCCGGCGAGGCTGACGGTCCTTCTGCCGGCAAGTTGCCGGCTAACCGTTCAGAATGTCTGGACGGTTCGCCAAACAAAGGCAATCTGGACGGTGGTTCCCGAGGAGGAATCTTTGGGAAGAAAATCTCGTTCGGATTGAAGAAACCTGCTCGGGTCGGTGTTGTTGGTGGTGGCAGCGGCGGTGCTGGTGGTGGTGGTGGTATGGGGGTCGCTGCTGCTGCTGGTGCTGCTGCTGGTACGGCTCCCCGTCGCCACACGGCAATTTCGTCACTGGAGATGCAGAGGCGAATAACGGAGCAGCTCTTTGGCGGGGATGACGACGACTCGGAGCCTGAAGAGTCGTCCGGGTCTAACGGTGGTTACCCGTCTGGTTACCACAACAATTTCGCGAATTGCATTTTGGGATCTCCTGCGAAGAGCAGAAGCGGAAGCCACGTCAGCGGCGGCGGAAGCCACGTCAGCGGCAGCGGAAGCTGTACCAGCAGCAGCGCCACCTCAGCAGCACCACGAGTAGCCCAATCAGCAGCAGCGTCATCATCAGCTGCAGCAGCTGCCGCATCCGCTGCAGCAGCAGAGGCAAGGCTAGGGCGCTCAATCGGCAAGTTGTGTTCCAACAAATGCGTTCCAGTTGGTAGAGCCAGTGCCGGTGTTGCTCCTGCCGTTACATCTGCAGTTACATCTGCCGTTACATCTGCTTTTACGACATCTACTGCTGCGGTGTCTCCCACGTCTTCTCCACAGGGCAAATCGAGCCCCCCCACTTCCCCCCCTCTTCCTCCGCTCCCCCCTGGTCCCCCTTCCGCCTCCCCCTCCGCCTGCTTCTCCCCTCTCCAGCCGTCCCGCCTATGGGGGGAGCAACTTCCGCCCATTCCCCATTGAGACTGCTCCCCCTGGAGCACCTCCGCAGGGCCCAGCTCCCCTTGGCGCAACAGCCCTTGGCGCAATTCCCCCCCTTCCGCCTGGGCCTCCGCCCATGACACCTCCGCCTCCTCCCCCGATCAGAGTGTCCATCAGGGAGCAAGTAGCAGCTGGAGAGAGCCAATATGCACCTCCCCCAGTTCCCCCAGCTCCCCTGGTTCCCCCGCCTCCCCCAGGTCCCCCTCCCGCCACTCCGCCTCCCCCGGCTGCACCTCCCCTAGACTCGAGCGCTGTGTTCTTTCCATCTCAGCTTGGCTCGAATCCCACTCCTGCTGCTGCTGCTGCCGCTGGTGTTGCTGCTGGTGCTCCTGCCGCCGCTGGTGCTGCTACAGCGGCCAGTGATGCATCTGGTTGCCACAGCTACAGCCAGGGCAGTGTTTCTGGCTCTGACGCAGTCTGCTACAGCCAGGGCAGCGTTTCCGGCTCCGACGGTTTGACCTGCTTGTGGAATGCAGGGTACTCGAGTGCTGGTGATGATGACTGTACCGATAGTGCCAATAGCGGGAGTGTGAGCGAGGCGCGGGCTGAGACTTACAGTTATCCTGCAAACGGAGAGGGAGGGCTCGAGGCGAAGCAGACGCAGTGTCAGTGCCAGGAGCAGCAACAAAATCAACAGCAGTACCAGCAGCATCAACAGCAGCACGAGCACTATCAGCAGCAGCAGCAAGAGCAGCAGGGCGGGCGCGGTTACTATGAAGGCAGTTGCCAGGAGTACGAGCAGAGCGAGGCGTACAGGAAATGGCTGGCTTACCACCAACAGCAGCAGCAGCAGCAGCCGCCGCAAGAGCAGCATCAGCAGCCGCAGCAGCACTGTGAAGGCGTGGAGCAGCAGGAGCAGCAGGGTTACGACCAGTACGAGCAGAGCGAGGAATATCAAAGGTGGTTGGCTTACCACCAACAGCAGCAGGCATACCAGCAGCAGCAGACATACGAGCAGGAGCAGCAGAAGCAGCAGGTGTACGAGCAGGGGCAGCAGCAGCACCAGCAGCGGCAGACGTACCAGCAGCATCAGCAGGTGTTTGATCAGGGGCAGCAGCAGCAGCAGCCGCAGGAACAGCCGCAGCTGTACCAGCGGCAGCAACAGCATCAACAGCAATCGTACCAGCACCAGCAGCAGCAGTCGTACCCACACCAACTAGTCACACATCACCCTCACACTGTATCCGCAATATCCCATCCACATGCCACACACGCACTTTACATTGCAGAGCACACTGGTCCAAACACCCTGCCTGTAGTTGCCACCAGCACAGCCCGCACTGTACCCGCGGTTACAAGCGCCTCCCACGTGGTAACCACGTGGTACCTGGTGGTGGACACGAACGTCTTCCTGGACGTGGCTGAGGTGGCAGCGCTCTATAGGCTGATTGCATGGGGGCTCAGGAACACAGAGAGAGGGGTTGGACAAACTGAAAGGGCTGGGCACACAGAAGCACAGAGTGCAGGTCTGGCTGGTGGTTCTGCCACTGTCACTACTCCTGGTGTTCTTCCGGCTCCTGCTGCTCCCGCTGCTTCTGCTTTTGCCTCTGCTTCTGCTGCTGCCGCTGCCGCCACTGCCGGTGCTGCTGCTGCCGCTGCGCCTGGTGCCACTGTTGTTGCGGCCGCTGCTGCTGCAGTGGCTGCGTCGATCCAAGCGGCTGCGGCGGTGGCTGCTGCAGGCAGCAACTGGGCTGGGCTGCTGGGGAGCGTGGCGGACAGCTTTCCCCGCAATGAGCGGGTGGTGGTGGTGCTCCCGCATGCAGGTGAGTCAGTGAAAAAGGGAAAATAAAGGCAGGTAGGAAGGTATGAGTGAGTATGGGTGAGTGATTCTGTGATGCTGCTAGGGTGTGTGACGGACAGCTTTCCCTGCAATGAGAGGGTGGTGGTGGTGCTCCCTCATGCAGGTAACCAACCTTCCCCTGCCATTCCCCCCACCCCGACCTGGTCCTGCAGTGGTGCGAGAGCTGGATGGCATAAAGGAGGACAAGGAGAGGGCGAGGGGCGTGTACGCCCGGCGAGCCCTGCGCCTGCTGAGGGACGCCTTGACCAGCAGAGCTCCGTGGCTCCGAGCCCAGGGCGCGCACGAGAAGGCCGAGGTGACTGGGAGCAGTAGCATCGGCAGCAGCAGTGGGGGTAGTGGTGCGTGTGGCCAGAGGCTTTCGGCTGATGATGCGGTGCTGTCCTGCTGCCTCTACTACCACCAGTTTGTTGCTCCTGGCGCTGTGGTGCTGCTTACTGGGGATATTGCACTGCAAGTCAAGGTGAGGATGCAGATCAAGGCAATAGAATTTCCTCTTTTTTTTGTACAATATACTCTATGGGATGTTTCAATAAGTTATCCTTCCTTATTTCCCTACAGGCACTTATGGAAGGAGTGACCATGGTTCACAAAGCGTCTGCTTTTGTGGCTGAGCGAGTGGGATTTGCTCTAGCTGCTGCAAGGTAATTGAATCAAGCCTGAAGATCATAACTTATTTTTTCATTAGCCTCCATGTTCCGCACTACTAGGTATTTAGATGTTCTTCATTTGTTAAATGCTATTTGGTGTGTTTCACAAAAAAAGTGGTACCATTTTTTGGGCTGAGAAAAGCCCTTAGGATCTTTGCAGGGGTGAAATCTGAGTAGGGTTGATGTAATAGCGGAAGCGTTAATTAAAGAGTAGTGAACCACCTTGCGCTAGTATGTGAGGGCAAAGTAAGTTAATTGAAACAAAGAGATACAAGAATATATATATAAGAGTACAAGGAATACGAAGAGGTACGGTTGCAACTACTTTACTGTTGCTGTTGCGGTTCGATACAGTGACGACTCGGGCAACTGCTCTGTAGCGAGTCAGTTGTGTGTCCTTGCTGTCGCGCTGTATTCGTCAGGTCAAAGGTCGCTGACCTTTGACTTCCCGTAACCTCCAGCGGTTACTTCAACCTCCGAGGGTTGACTCGCCGGTGCTTCGATATGCTCTGCCTCATTTATGTCTTAGTGTTTCGACACGGCAGAGGCGCTTAAGACCGATTGTTTCCAACACTCCCCTTCGCTTCTGGAGTGTCGCTGACGTGGCTCTGTCCAGTCAGCAGCATGCAGTATTCGAACTTCTGCTTTCCGAGCTTCTTGGTCAGGTAGTCAGCTGCCATCTCGAACGTGGGACAGTATGACAGCTCGAGCCTTCCCTTCTCGATCTCGTCCTTCACGAAGAAATATCGCAGGGCGATGTGTTTCGTCCTGTTCGCGAAGCCGTTCTTGTTGGCGATGCGAATTGCCGACTGGTTGTCGCAGAACAGGGTAAAGTTGGGTAACTCGGCTAACTTCGCTTCTTCCAGCAGCTCGCGAAGATAGAGTCCTTCCTTGGTGGCTGAGCAGAGTGCAATATATTATGCTTCAGCTGACGAGAGAGCAATTAATTCCTGCTTGCTCGACTGCCAAGAGATAGGTCCGATAGGTTCGAGGCGGTAGACGTAGCCGGTGCGGGAGCGCCTATTGTCGGAGTCGCCAGCGTGATCGGCGTCGACGTAGCCGATTAGCTTAGTCGGTGTGGTTGCATTCTTGTGATAAGTTAGCCCGATTGTTGGGGTGCTGACGAAGTAGTGAAGAGCGCGGTCGAGCTCCGCCAGGTGTTCTGCTTCAGGCTTCTTGAGGTAGGTAGCGAGCTGGCTTGCGGAGTATGAGAGGTCGGGGCGGCAGGTGACAGCTGCAAAGAGAAGGCATCCCAGCTTCTTTTGGTAGTCTCGTATGCCGGCAGGCTTGAGTAGAGCGGAGCCTTCCTTGTTGTTTCCTGACGTGTAGCGGTATGGCGTGGAGATGGCTGTCGGTGTGAGCGTAAAGCGTTTAGCAATGGTGTCGGCATATTTCTCGGCGCTGAGGTAGATCGCGTCCTCCTCTTCCCGGATGTTGAGGCCGAGGTACTGAGTGACGGCAGGTGAAACTGTGAGCGTGAGATCTCGCTGCAGCTCCCCTTCGAACCAGGTGGTGACGCTGTCGGTTGACCCGATGTAGAGGAGATCGTCCACGTAGACGATTAGTAGGATGTAGTCGTCGTTTTTTGTGAGCCGGTACATGCCTTGATCGTGCGGTAGCTGCTTGAAGCCGATGCGGATGAGGCGAGCGTGCAGGTACTGTTGCCACAGACGCGGAGCCTGTTTGATGCCGTAGAGTGACTTGAGTAGCTGACAGACTTGATTAGGTTCCCCGTGGGAGCCGTGCGGTAGCTCGACGAAAATTTCTGCATCAACAGGTGCGTAGAGAAACGCGTTCGCGACGTCAATTTGCCGCAGCTTCTTCTTCTTCATGGCGGCGATGGCGAGGAGAATGCGTAGTGAGGTGTGGCGGCTAACGGGAGCGAAAGTTTCGGTGAAATCGCGTCCGTGTTCTTGGTCGAAGCCGCGTACAACCCAGCGAGCTTTAAATTTGTCAATGGTGCCGTCAGCCTTTGTCTTCACACGGAAGACCCACTTCCCGGTGAGCACTGTCTTGTTCCGTGCCACGCCGATAGGAACCACTTTCCACGTGTTGCGTTCCTCCAGTGCCTTCAGCTCCTTGTCCATGGCTTCGCGCCAATTTTCCTTATGCTCCCCCCCTAGAGCCTGTTGAACTGTCGCAGGCTCTTTAGGAATGGCGGTGCCGTGGACTGCGGTGACGAGTCCAAGTATCTGGAGTCCACTCTGTGTGTAGCGGGGGAGAGTGGTGTCCTCGGGATAAACTGCTTCGTCTCCCGCTTCTGGATCAGGTACGAAATTTGGTCCTATGCGTTCTGCTTCGTCGGTGTTGACTTGTGCAGGTGTAACGTAACCGTTGTCAGCGAAGTGGTAGTAAGTTTCGGCGTTGATGCTTTCGCGTGGATTTTCGTCATCCATTGGGACATCGACGGAGCAGTACGGGAGGGGTCCGGCTTCTTCCGAGGCTCCTTCGACGTTCTGCTCGTCCCAGTCAGCTTCGTCTTCTGCCGAAACGAAGGCACGGGTGCCATTGAATCCGCCCGAGGGATCAGGTCGGTTTGCTGCCACGTACGCAAGGTGAACGTCGAGGGTGAGGTTCTCGTAGAAGAGGACATCACGTGCTGCGACTGTTTCCTTGCTGTTGATGTCGAAGATTTTCCATGCATTGTAGTGTTTTTCGATGCCCAGGTGTAGTCCCCACTGTGCTCGCTGGGAGAATCGACCGGCGCGTGCAGATGGGGGTCGGTACTGTACCATGCAGCCGAAAACTCTCAACATTTTTGTGTTGCCCAATTTTCCTGTCCACGGCAGGTGCGGTGATGCGTTGTTCGGGAGTGATGATGACGAAAGCAAGTTGTGCAGCATGACGGCGTGGTCCATTGCTTCGGGCCATTGGTGGTTGGGCAGGTGCATGCCACGTAGCAGCTTACGCATGGTGGCTTGGAGTGTCCTGTTCATCCTTTCTGCTACTCCTTGTTGTTGATGAGCGTAGGGAAAGGAAATGAGCCGCTTGATCCCCCTTTCTGCCAAGTAGTCCTTGAACCTCTGTGAGGTGTATTCTCCTCCCGTCTGACTGGAAACTCTTTAGTTTTACGCCCGATTCTCTTTCTGCTGCAGGAAGCCACGCGACGAACGCCTCGAACGCCATGTCTTTGCTTGGAAGATTCAGGTGCCAAACGTAACGTGTCGCGGCGTCGATGAACGTGATGGTGTAGCTGTACGCGTTCTGCCCCGGCTCGCGATTGTACAGGATGTCACTGTACACCTTCTCGAGTGGTGCGTAGGCTGGTGCGCTTGGATTATGGTGAGACACAAACGGTTGATGTGATAAATCTGCTTCGGGACAGGTGAAGCATGTTCCTCGAGCTCGCTGAAGTTCTCTGCCGTCGATCAGTAGAAGTGAGTCTTTGTCGAGCACTCCTGCTCTTATTGTGTTGTTTAACACCGTGTGGCTTGGATGTCCCATCCTTGCGTGCCAGGTTCCTTCGGTGGCGCGGTGTCCGGGCGAGCGTCGGTACATGTCGGAGTTGGAGTAGAAGCCGGCGGTGACGTTCGCGCTTCGGTGGACTTCTCGTCGTGTCGGGTTGAGCTGTTGCGCGGGTGTCGGTGGTGTGTCATCGAGGAGTGGTGCCGTTGAAGGACCAGCGACTGGTGTTGAAGTTCCTGCTGTTGCCGTTGATGTCTCTGCTGCTGCCGACGTTGTCTCTGCTGCTGCCGATGTTGTTTCTGCTGCATGTTGAATTGTCGCTAACGCTCTTGTCCTTTCTGTCTCAGGGATGGTGTGTGAGTACCAGAAACCGCCAGGACTGAAGTCTGAATCAAGATCTGGAGGGTGTGTCCAGTTGGTGAAGTTAACGATGGCGTCGCTGTCGGCGGTGCCGAGATCAGGAACGAAGTCGAGAACGAAGACGTTGTTCTTGAGGACCGCCTTGCCAATGTAAAGGCCTCCTCTCCCGTGGTACAACTTGAATTCTTGGGTGGTACTGTCTGCTTCAAGATGGATCCCCTTCGCCATCAACTGACTGACGCTCAGTAGGTTGTAGCCGAGGCCTTCTGCGATTAGGACTTTGGACATCTGTAGAATGACATTTGTTTCTCGTGACTGAAGTTGAACAACTCCTTGTCGTCGTGTGCGCAGGTTCTGATTGTTGGCGACGGTGATGACGACTTCTCGTTGGAGTTGGTACTCTCGCTGCACGAAGCGTCCTGAAGAACACATGTGCTGTCCGCAGCAACTGTCCAAGAACCACGTGTCCTTCTCGGATGGTTCGCTCTGGGCGATAGCTGCGTATGTCGGATTCGGCTCCAGTGTCTCACGGCGTGGAGTTCTTTCATCAAGTTGTTCTTCTGGTGAGTAGTATGGTGGTGATCCCGTGATGCAAGAGTCGCTCAGCCTTGCCATGCAGCTGACGATGTTCCTTGCTCCTTGTGCAGGTTGTCCCGTTGAAGTCGTTGAGGCTTGAATCTGGGTCGAAGGATTTGTTTGTGTCGAAGCGACTTGATTGCTTGAAGGTCGAAGTTGTCACTGTGGCGTTGTTGATTGTTGTCGATTCGGGCAGTGTGTGCGCGGATGTCCTGAAGTTTTGCAGATGTGGCAGAACAGAGGTACGGGCTTCGGCTGTTGCTGCCGGTTGTTGTTGTTGTTGTTGTAGCGTCGTTGAGTGTGGAACGCGAATTCCGGTGCTGATGTCTTCCTTTTATGTCGTTCTTCTTGCAGGTCCATGTCTTGCTGTTCGGCGTGGATTTCGGCGCAGAGCGCTGCTTCGGAGATTCTTCCGTGGGCTCGGAGTATGGCCTTTGTGGCGCGCCATTGAGGACCGAGGCCGCCGATGATAACTGTCACGAAGGCGTCTTCAGAAATCGATCCTCCGCATCGAAGAAGCTTGTCGCGCAACTCGCGACATCGGCTGATATACGCCAATCCTTTCTCGCCTGGTTTCATTTCGACCGTTGTCAGTTGCGCCATTAACCGACTTTGGTTTACGCTGTCTGTTGCTTGATACAGGCTCTTCAAGTGGTTATATGCGAGCTCCGCGGAGTTGCCGTAACCCCGGTAAGATCGTATGTTCTGCTGTTGAGTCGGGGTGATGTTTCTCAGTAGAATCGTGTACGCCATCATTGACTGATAGGTGTACTGCTGCTTCTCGTACTGTGTGCCGTTTGTTGGGTATGGCAGGGACCCGTCGAAGAAGCCAAGTATCTGCGCGCCTTCCATCATCAGCTCGAATTCAAACGACCAGGTAAAAAAGTCCTTTCCATCGAAGGGTCTTGACGTCTGCATCTTCAGAACGTGTGCGAACTGCGACTGAACTTGTAATGCGTCCAGTGATTTTTCTTGTCCAGGTGAGGGCTGCGGGTGAGGCATGAAGCTGACGGACCCGCGCTCGTACGGAGCAAAGGTAGGCTGCTGCTGTTGATTTCCTCGTGCATATGATGAGCCGTCTAGACTCATGGGTGTTGCTCCGTTGTTGTTGCTGTTGTGTGACTGCGCAGGTGCCGATTGCTGGTGTTGCTCGTAGAAGGACATGAAGGAGAAGAACTTCTCCATCATGCTCTGGTCGAAGTCTGCGGGCTGATTCGCGGGAGTCTCGGTAGATGTTGCTCTGGGTCTTGTTGCCGTGCCCTCCTCTGTCTGTAGGCCAGAGGCAGGAGGTGGAGTAGGAGTAGTGCCCTGGGAGCCATTGGAGTTGCTCCTTTCCTTTTGTGTAGCCATGCTTGTTGATGTTGTCGGTTTAGAAGTTGAATTCCCCCTGATAGCTCTCATACCATGTTGGGCTGAGAAAAGCCCTTAGGATCTTTGCAGGGGTGAAATCTGAGTAGGGTTGATGTAATAGCGGAAGCGTTAGTTAAAGAGTAGTGAACCACCTTGCGCTAGTATGTGAGGGCAAAGTAAGTTAATTGAAACAAAGAGATACAAGAATATATATATAAGAGTACAAGGAATACGAAGAGGTACGGTTGCAACTACTTTACTGTTGCTGTTGCGGTTCGATACAGTGACGACTCGGGCAACTGCTCTGTAGCGAGTCAGTTGTGTGTCCTTGCTGTCGCGCTGTATTCGTCAGGTCAAAGGTCGCTGACCTTTGACTTCCCGTAACCTCCAGCGGTTACTTCAACCTCCGAGGGTTGACTCGCCGGTGCTTCGATATGCTCTGCCTCATTTATGTGTTAGTGTTTCGACACGACAGAGGCGCTTAAGACCGATTGTTTCCAACACCATTCACCTAATCGTGGAAGCAACTTTACTATGTTCGTAAAGCGAGGCAACCAAATTTCCAGTTGGTGAAGTTGTGCTGTTTGGAAATGCGTCTGCTGTTCATTGGCATATAACGTGGAACGACAGCCATTTTCGTAACGCGTGCGCCTGATACGGTAGCTTCAGGCTCAAGCCTCGCATTTCCCTGCCTCGCATTTCCACTCCACATCCACACCGAGTAGTTCCAGTTACGTATCATTCCTCCTGATCCACTGTTCCTATACCTACTAGCAGTCTCTAGGATTGTTAGCTTTCGCTGCATTCCCATCCATCATCCCGTATCTTCGTTAGGGATTTTATGCAGCTTGCAGATGGTGAAGCGAAGGCGTGGAGGTGGATGGGGAGGGCTAGAACGTGTGAGCTCGTTGAAAGATGTACGTACCACTTGAATCCCTCACCCAGTTTTTGGCTTGGAGCGAGATTTTTGTAGTAACTTTTCCAATGTGAGCAGAAATTGCCGCTTCCTCGTCAAGGGGCCATACGTAGCTTTATTTCCTCGCGACATGTCTCTGGAGTAGTCAAGCCCTCATACAATCTGGATGATGCGAACAAGAAAGTTGAACAAGGCACCACGTTCCGTTTTCAGAAGCGTAGCTTGGAGAAGCACACGCCATTGCGAATTCCAAAGCCAGCAGGTGTGGGATAATTGTCAATTGCACGTATTTTACCAGCTGTTTCGATGGAGGTTTTTTTTTTTCTCTGATTGACTGTTGTATAGATACGTCGCGCGAAGGATGTTCTTCATTGGACGTCAGGCTCGAGAACAACCAGAACGAAAATAGGTCAGGACGCCGCGCTTCTGATCAATCTCAGATACACTTGTAATACTAATGATGTAATGTGATGCAGGGTGCATTCGAGAGAGAACCAGTGTATCACACCTCGTAAGCTACCTTCTTGTTATTTGTATCCTCCTGCATCTGATGTTTTTGACCATATTCTGTGTGACATACAGAAGTCGTCAGTACCATGAAGAACCGCACTGCTCCTCCCATCTCCAAAATTCGTTCTACTGAGAAGCAGCGTAAGTTCCTTTTCGGTTTTATGTTGTCTGTTTACATTGTTTGTTAATTTTAACTGAGTTTCATGCCAAAGGTCCAAAAGAGGAGGACGAGTGGGACTGGAACTTCAGTTGTGAGAAACCAAAATCACCTGCTGCGGTCAAATCTGGAGATGCAGAGGAAGACGCGATACTGCTGGGTATGTCCTTAGATGATCGCAGATGTCTTGGTTTGAAACCACCAAACACTTGATGATGGTACAGTTTTCATCTGTTTTCAGGTCACCCTCGCGACTCCAAGTCTTTCTCCTTTTCCCCGGTCAAAGAGAGTTTGAAGGCCGTTGTGAAAAGAGTCATGGGTCTGGACGCTATCTCAGTTCAAAGGGGTGAAAGGTAGGTCAGCTCTTTTTTTTTTTTTTCCAATTTGAGTTTCTGTTAATTGCTCATTGGACTTGAGTCGGTTGCAGTAAAACAGCAGCTGATGAGCTCTTGAGCAAGCTTAATATCTCACCTTCTCCAGAACTCATTGCGATGCTTCCATCAGGCGGAAAGGTGAGGCTGGTCATGTTAATGTCTTTGCAGGACCTTGACTGACAGATAGTGGTGGTTGCAGGCTAAGAGGGAATTGCCTTCAAGCCCAAAACAAGCATTTTGGAATGAACAACCGAGACCTACGATCCCCCTCGTAAATGTTGACATGGAGGATTTCGGGGTACATGACTGGCTCTTTGGGTCTGAAGAAGCACACCGGGATGTCTCTGAAGTCATGTTTGGCATGGTTCGAAGCATTCCTGAAGCAGAAACCTCCCTTGGTTCTGATGCATTCCTTGGAGGGGAGAGTTTGTCTGAGTGTGGGACAACAATGTTTGCTGAAGGCTTTGAAGAAAGAGGCTGTTTTGATGGAGATTCACTTGAAGAAGTGCTTGCTGGAAGCAGAACTTTCTCAGCAACAACAGCCCTGTCTTCAGAACCTTTTCTCTCAAGCCCCCTGTCTCCAGAACCATTTCCCCCAACGGCAGGCTCTTTAGCTCCCTTCTGGAAGTGCAGCCCTTCAGCCACAGACATTGATGTACATCTTCAGACACACAATAGCAGTCCATCTGGATGTGGTCTTTTTGACAGTGCTGCTGGTACAAGAGGCAACCCATTTGAGAATGCTGACACGAATTGGAAGGGCGATAGAGCTGAGGCAGATGAAATCATTTGTGGAGGCGAATTTGGAGGCCCCAGTTACAGCCCTTCTGCTAGCCTATTTGATACACCATATTTCATGTCATGAAGTGTTTCTGTACCGTATGTATATACTATTCCATGGGTGTAAACTTCTTGTGTTCCTTGTGGAATGCTTCATTGTTCAAACGCCAAACGAACCCTTTCTTGATGGAGCCTCTCTTTTCCCAGTTGCCACTCTAGTTCACCTAGTCACCTCCCTAGGTTACCGTACCCCTGTTTCACGACCATCATGGCTCCACGAGGAGAGATTTGCCGACACGTGGTAGCGCCAAACTGGCCCTTTTCGCGCATGGCGTGCACGAGCAGCCAATTGCAGCCCGGAGCACGACCCACCGGAACGTACCACCCACCTCCATCCATCATTCATCCCATCCATCAACCTCCGAGTCGCCTTTTCGCGAATTTCCGCGCCGCCTTTGAATTGCGCACCTCGCCGACCTTTACGCAGGAGGGAATGTGTGAGATTTTGTTTCCAAACACGAGCCGCGGTTCATCAACCCGTGGGGTACTGTAAATTCAAGTCGTTCCTGATCTGTCGATCAGATTGGGTTGACGTTCTTCCATCCAAATCACCAGTGTCTTCTCGCTTCGCGACTCCCCCTAGTAATCTGCTCTCTTTGAATTTCTGCACAAAAATCTTCTGACTTCGAATCCACGTTCGAGCCAACATGTCTCAGGAGCAGCCAAGGCGGGAGGAGATGGAGGGGCAGGCCAAGGTACGCTAGTCTACACGTCTCTTCACCGCCTAAACAAACGCTTCTCAGCCTTCTTTTAACTTCCTCCTCAACTCGCGTCCATCGCGAACCCATATACCATACCCCTCCCCGCTGTCGCTGACCATCTGCTATCCCTCCCTTTCTGCTCTCTTCTCCCTCTCTGCTCTCCTCTCTCCTTCTGCTCTTCTCTCCCTTTCTGCTCTTCCAGCAGGAGCAGTTTTCAACCGAGCCCACGCAGGCAGCAGCAACTGGCGCCCCCAGCTACGCAGCAGGAGGAGGAACAGCTGTCTCTGCACCCGGTTACGCCGGCGGTGGTTACGTGGCAACCGCAACAGGCCCAGGCTTCACCTGCACGGCCCAGGAGTTCCCCACTGCAGGGGGAGGTGCGACTGGAGTAGCTGCTGTGACTGATACCGAGGGAAGGACGATTTACTACTCTACGACTATGCAACCCATGGGTGTGACTGGTCCTGGTGTGACTGACACGGGTGTGACTGCAACGGGCGTGCCTGCAATGGGGGGTGGTGGTGCTATGGGCGGTGGTACTGCCACTGGTGTGCCGGCTGCAGGAGGGGGTGGGATGGGGGAGATGGGAAAGGGGACGGATATGAGTGGTATGGAGGCTGGGATGGGGGGGGAGAGCCTGGGAACCACTGGGACGGGCGGAGGGGGAACGGCTGGGGGAGATGTGGGGGCAACTGGAGGGGGGGATACTGAGATGATGGGGGGGGACATGGGGGGAGAGAGCATAGGCGCAAGGGGGAGTGCTGAGCGTACTGTTGGTGAGAAGAGCCCAGCTACCGGTGCTACCGCTGAAGGGGGAATGGGGAGGTCTGCTGGTAGTGATGTGACTGCTGGGGGTGATGTGACCTCAGGGGGTGATGTTGCTCAGGCGAAGGAGGCTGGTGGTGCTGCTGCTGGTGGGGAGACGGGAGGGGCTGAGACCGGTGGAGAGGGGTTCATGGGGCGAGAGTCACAGGCCAAGACAATGGAAGGGGAAGGAGGAATCGGATCAGCTTAAAATGTTTTTGAGTGTGAAGGAAAATTTGCCTGCAAATTACGCAATGAGGTTTGACTAGAGGGGTGTGCAGACTGAAGCTCACGGCTGTCATGTACTTCTATTAGATACCGTATGTGCTGTTTGTTTTGCGTGCTTTTGTACAGTTCCTGTACTTTTGTTCTTTCCTCTTCTCTGTAAGGCATTGTACAGTTCGGTTTTTGCTATAGCAGTGTCAAACTCTTGGCGAATTGACGTTCTTTCCTTGTTTACAGTACCGGTAGTTGCCATCTTACTGCGTTGTAACACATCCTGACTACAGTACCCATCATCATTCACAATTCCTTACCACAATCTTGGCACAATCACTCTGAACCGTAGGAGATGATCAAATCGTTGCGCGCAGTATCTAGGCACTAACATCACCCACGACCACGATAAAATATACTGCCACACACCTAACCAATCATGTCATGCCACATCATCATCTTGCAGCTGCACATGCCTTGATGAGGGCCTCTGCACTCGACACCTGGTACAGAGAATGGGAGACAGAATTGATAGTGCAGAAGAGTGGAAAAGGATGGAGAAGAAAGGGGGAGGACTAGAGAGAAATGGGGAGAATGGGGAGGACTGGGGAGGAGTGAAGACGAGTGGGAAGGAGTGGAGACGAGCCCACCTGGAAATCTGAGAATCGCTTTTGGGAATTCTTAAAAACAAGTAGCAGCCTACCTGCGTTGGGTTGCCAGAAATTTCAACGATCCTGTCCGTGGTGCCTGCTTCCGAGGGCTGGATCTGCCATCGGGCAGATAGAAAAGAAAACAAAAACAAAAAAGGAAAGCGAAGATGATAAAAAAGGATTAGAAAGAGGATGAAGAAGCCCTCAACAGTTGGTATTGCACCATTCTGCAAAAACCCACCTTAACACTAGCATCAGGGACGCCTACACAATCCTGGTTTCAGTTATATCGGCCACATCTTCTTCTCTCGCACCCTTGCTTTGATACTAGCACCGGACATCTGCCGAATGTCTTGATTACTCGTGACACCGCCCACCTCCCCCCCCCCCCCCCCCCCCCTTTCCTAACCTCCCTTACTTTGATGCTAGCAGAAGACATCCGTCGAAGGTTCTTAATCCATCGTGACACGCCCCTTCCCCCGCCCCCCGCAACCCCCTCTCTCCCACAACCCCTTTCCCCTCCTTTACAATGCATACAAAGCAACAGCATCGCATTGCCTCACCTTGGTGCTAGCATCATACATCTGCCGAATGTTCTTGATCAACTGCAATGCCAGCCTCCCCCCTTTCCCCCGATTCCCCCCACCATACACACGTGCACAGCCTCACCTTGATGCTAGCACCGGACATCTGCCGAATGTTCTTGATCGTGTTCCCACCCTTCCCCAGCACCGACCCTATCGCCTGCCCCGGCAGCCGAAGCTCAATCCGAGCCTGCCCCTGCCCCTGGCCGTGACCATGAGGCACGGATTCAGAAGCGTCTGTTTTGACGAAGGGACGATCCTGCACCCTCCTGCGCTCTGTACGGGTTGAGTAAATGGACATGAAATGGGGAAAACGAAATTCTCAGGGATGTGGAAACAGAGATTGCAAAATAGTACTGTGATGATCCTCCACCCCTTTTCTTTGTTTTGATTGGTGTGAACAAAGGAATGCGGAATGTGGGAAAATAACATATTTTTTTGACTTCTTTCCTGCTTTTCTCAGGAATGTGAAAACGGAGATGGCGAAGTGGAGGTGGGAAGATAAAGCACCCACCTTTGGCGAATGGGGTGAACGAAGGGAGATTGGGGTCATGGAATAATGGTAGATTGGTAGTTATGGAGTGGTGCAATTGCAGATTTTTCGACTACAGCGGCAGCGGCAGCGGCAGCGGCAGCGGCAGTGGCAGTGGCAGCGGCAGTGGCAGTGGCAGCGGCACAAGGGAACTCACTGGAAGGATCATCAATACCAGCACCAGGCGAAGGCTGGTAACCAGACGAAGTAGGGTAACCAGACGGAGGGTGGTAACCAGACGCATCAACGTAACCAGCAGCACCGGAAGCACCGGAAGCAGAAGAGAAGGCAGTATGGCTCATTGGGGATGAAGAGAAGCCACTCAGAGAGCCACCACCACCAGCACCACCGCTCCCCATCCCCCCTCCCCCTGCTCCCCCTGCTGCTCCTCCTGCTCCTTGATAATTGGCCAGTACCGCACCCAACCCTCCTCCAATCCCCCCCATTCCTCCCCCTCCCACACCACCCTGGAATCCTGCCCCTAACCCCCAACTCAGGTCTCCTCCTCCTGCTGCTGCTGCCCCTCCCCCCAACCCTCCCCCCATCCCCCCTCCCCCGAAGCTACTGCCCAGATCCATTCCCAAGCCTCCCCCCACGTATCCCGAACCTAGCGCTCCCGAGCCTAGCCCGCTCCCTCCCAACCCCAGCCCAGCATCATACATCCCCGAACCTGCTGCCGAGCCATACGCAGGCGGCATTCCCAAGCCTCCCACCAAACCTCCTGGGGAACCGTAACCTCCTGCCAAACCAGATCCCAAACCTGCAATCCCCGAACCTGGGTACCCCCCGGCTCCCGAACCTTCAAATCCCCCTCCACCCCTTCCACCTCCCCCTCTCCCCCTTCCTCCTCCTCTCGCCCCAGGACTCTGGAACCCCGTTCCTGCTGCCAGTGCTGCTGCTTGCTGCGCTGCTGCTGCTGCGGCGGCGGCAGCATAGGGGGTAATGGTGGCGCGTGCTGCTGCCACTGATCCTGCTGTTTCCATCTCCTCAAGCGGCTCCTGGGGAGGGTTGGCTCTGAGGATGGATAGAGAGAGATGGGAAGGTAGGAAGAGGGACACATGGGATTTGAGAGGGACAAGAATGGAGCAGCATAGGGGGTGATGGTGGCGCGGGCTGCTGACTGACCCTGCTGTCTCCATCTCCTCTAGCGACTCCTGAGGGGGGTTGGCTCTGTGGATGGACAGAGAGACAGAGAGACAGAGAGGCAGTCGCAATGCAGGTAGGTAGATAGGCAAAAAGCACATTCGATGTCAGGATAAGTGTTGGACTGCTGCTACAGCGGCGGGAGGGAGGGAGGTAAACGTATGCAAGCATATGCTATGTGTAAGGACAAGCGTTGGACATGCTATTATGAGCACACTTGGCATTGCTTTGCTTTCAATGCCTTCACAAGGAGCATAAGAAACTCACTTGTTCACGTTCGCAAACTTTTGGGTCAAATCAGAAGTCTGCTGCAAGGCCTTCACAAATAGCATAAGCGAGACTCACTTGAGTACGTTCGCAATCGCCTTGAGTGCTGCCTCCAGCTTGGGGGCTGTTGCAGTGATCTGATGCGGTGGAGTGGGGTGGGATAGGGTGGGGCGGGGCCGGATGGGATGGGGTGGGGTGGGGGTAAGGTGCAGCGGCAGGGCGATGGGGCACGCCCCTCTGCAATGCACACAAGCGCCCTACCGAACTCGCGAATGCCCTTCATCGCCCTGGCCCCCCACCCACGACACCTGCTGCTATCAGTTGAAGTCACAACATCCCCCCCCCCCTCCCCTCCCCTCCCCTCCCCTCCCCTCCCCCCATCACCGTGCTCACCTGCACGAGCCTGTCTGCTGGCATGGTAGAGCGAAAGGAGAGATGAAGCCCTCTGCGATGCACACAAACGCCCGGCTGGACTCGCGGATGCCCTCATTACCATACAGTAGGCCACCCAATTCCTCCCACCTCCACCCCACAGTACCCGCACAAACCGATCTGCTGCCGGTAAAGCGACCAGGGACGCACCACTGGACTCGCGGATGCCCTTCATCCCCCTTACCACCCCTCTCCTCCCCCCCACCCCCCCCCCCTTCCAACCGCACTCCACCCCACCCCAACCCAACCTTTGCTCACCTGCACGAGCCTGTCTGCGGGCAGGGCGAACGGAGACGTGGGGCTCTCTGTGATGCGCACAAACGCCCCGCTGGACTCGCGGATGTCTCTAATCACCCGGCCCATCCTACCGCACTCCACCCTATCCCACCGCACCGCACCTGCACAAGTCGATCTGCCGGCAGGGCAAAGGGCGATGCAGGTCCCTCAGTGATGCGCACAAACGCCCCGCTGGACTCGCGGATGTCTTTAATCCCCCAACCTTCCCTCCCCTCCCCCCCACATCTGTGGCCCCCAGTCAGCCCCCCCTCATTGCTCACCTGCACAAGCCTGTCTGCTGGGAGTGCGAAGGGTGATGCAGGTCCCTCAGTGATGCGCACAAACGCGCCACTGGACTCGCGGATGTCTTTGATCACGCGGCCCCCCCCACACCACCAGCTGCTGCCACTCCCACTCCCACTCCCACTCACACTCCTACCCCTCCCCCCCCCCCATCCCACTGCTCACCTGTACGAGCCTGTCTGCCGGCAGGGCGAAGGGAGACGCGGGTCCCTCAGTAACCCGCACAAACGCGCCACTGGACTCGCGGATGTCTTTGACCACTCTTCCGTCCCCCAACCCCCCTTACCCAACTCCACCCTACCCACCTGTACGAGCCTGTCTGCCGGGAGTGCGAAGGGCGAAGAGGGCCCCTCAGTGATGCGCACGAACGCCCCACTGGACTCGCGGATGTCTTTGATCACGCGACCTCCCTTGCCAATCAGAGCGCCCGATTGTGACGCCGGCACCAGCAGGTTCAGGACAGATCGGCTCGACTCGTCTGCCCTCTGCTGCTGCTGCTGCTGGCGGTTCTGGTTGGGATGCGGACCGTCCTGCATGGGGGAGAGGGATGGGGGGGCCACAACAGAACAGAGCGCCCGATTGAGAGGCGGGCACTAGCAGGTTCAGGACCGACCGGCTCGACTCGTCTCGCCTCTGCTCTTGGCGGTTCTGGCTGGGATGAGGACCGTCCTGTATGGGACGGAGGGATGGAGAAGCACCAGTAGGCTTATTGTGTCCCATCCCGTTGTAATCAGGTGACTTTTGAGTCGACTCAAAAGTCACCTTGGTGATTCACGTGGGTGGTGTTGCCTGTTCTGGCTTGGGAAGAGGGAGAGGGATGGGACGGAGGGATGGAGAAGCACCAGTAGGCTTAAAACTTCAAGAGCGGATGCAAACAAGACCAATAGACAAGATCAGTATCTTTTAACCACCAGTAGACTGTTGCAAAGGTTGCGGGTTAAGAGACGACTTCTGAGGCACCTCAAAAAGCATCTTCTGTGCACCAGTAGACAGTCCCGAAGGTTGCACCAGTCCAGCAGCGAGGGGAGGACACGACGACGAGCAGTTGCTTGCTACTCTTGTTTCTTACTCTTGTCTCTTGCGAAAGATAATGGCGCATTGTATTTTTGTTTTGATTTTTGTTTGTTGTTCTTTTCGACTCGCACCTGGGGCAGCAGTGCGGCAGGGAACGCACCTGGGGCAGCAGTGCGGCAGGGAACACACCTGGGGCAGCAGTGCGGCAGGGAACATGGCAAAGAGAGCGGTCTCTGCTGGAGAGGGGTCGGAGGAGGAGGAGGGGGGCGAGGAGATGACCAGCAGGCGCTCCTCTGATGGCTGGTGGGGGGAGATAAGGGCGTTGAAAGGGGAGGGGGCAGGAGACGAAGGAGAGTGAGAGAGGAGGAAATGATTCCCGAATGCTTGATTTGAAAGGGGGGAGAAGGGGGGCGAGGAGATGAATAGTAGTCGCTCTTCCGATGGCTGGAGGGGGGAGGGGAAGGAGGGTGAGAGAAGGGCATGATTGAAAAATGTTTCAGGGTGCATTTCTAGCTTCGTGTCATCTGGTGTTCGTGTCATCCGAAATTAAACCCGCAATTCGAGATTTGAATTTTTTAATTGGATCCCACAATTTCGGATGACATGAAGACGGGATGACACGAAGCCAGGAATGCGCCCTCAATTGAGCAAAAAGGAGGAGGGGGGCGAGGAGATGACCAGCAGTCGCTCCTCTGATGGCTGGTGGTGGCGGGAGGGGGCGGAGAGGGAGGGGACGGGAGAGGAAGGAGTGTGAGAGAGGAGGAAATGATTCCCGAATGCTTGATATGAGAGGGGGGAGGAGGGGGGCGAGGAGATGACTAGCAGTCGCTCTTCCGATGGCTGGTGTGGTGAGGGGAAGGGAAAGAGGAGGGGACGGGAGAGTGGGGGGAGACAAAAAAAGCGGACCAAGAGGGTGCTTATAAGGAGCTTTCATTTAACAGGAGGAGGGGGGCGAGAAGATGAATAGCAGTCGCTCTTCCGATGGCTGGTGTGGTGGTGAGCGGAGGAGAGAGATGGTGAGTGGGAGGGGAAGGGAGGGAAGGGGAGGGCAGGGGAGGGGAGGGGAGGGAAGGGAAGGATCAGAACTAGAGGAAGAATGACGAGGGACGGCAAAGGAGGAATGGGGAAGATGACGTTGAAATGGAGCGATATGAAGAGCATAAGGCGGAAACATCACTGCGAGAGCAATAGTGCAAAAATCACATGCTTAGAATCACCCGGTGATACATCCACATCACCCGGTGGATTCACATGCTTACACTGGTACGAGGCACGGAGCACATTAGATCCCCTGCTCCTGTGCGGCACATTAGCAAGGGTTTTGTAACTCTCCTTCTTTTCTTGCTAAAAGCTTTCCTTAGTACTGCCGCTCTTCCAAGCCATGAGTTACGACGGCACGGAGCACATTGGATCCCCTGCTCCTGTGCGGCGCTTTCCCTCTTCTGCTGCACCTTGATGCTTTGCTCGCTTGCTTGTGAGTCTACTCATCAGGGTGTGTGAGTCGAGTCGAGACGAGACGACTCAACAGAGTGTGGTGCTTATAATGGTAGGGGGCACGGAGCACATGCGAATCCTTGCCCCTGTGCTCTCCCTCATCTGCTTGATCTTGCTCCCCTGCTTCCCGATCACCCCGCCGGCCCGGCTCTCATGCACCAGCAGGCGAAACACCACTGGAGAGCGGAGTGGGGAGGGAAAGCGACAGGGAGGAGAGACAGGGGGGGGTGTGAGGCTGCAGGCAGGCCTGCTCGTGCCCCAACCCAATCACCACACCCCGCCTGGCTCTGGTGCACCAGCAGGCGGAACACCACTGGAGAGAGGAGTGGGGAGGGGAGCGATACGGGGGGAGCAAAGAGGGGGACGAGACAGGGGACTGAGTGAAGATGCAGGTGGGACCGTGGGGGCAGTGAGAGGTATTCTTCAAGCCCCCCTGCTTGCTGATCCCCCTCCCCCTCCCCACGCCAAACAGGCTCTCGTGCACCAGCAGGCGGAACACCACTGGAGAGAGAGGGGAGGGGGGCGATAAGGGGGAAGCAAACAGGGGGACGAGACAGGGGACTGTGTGAGGATGCAGGTGGGGAACCGTTAATGCCCCTGCTTGCCCCTTGTTAAGAGGGAGAGAGAGAGAGGAAGCGAGGACGAGGGAGAGGGACGAGAGGTGAATGGGAAGAAGGGGTGGGGATAGGTGAAGGAGCGATGTGGGGGAGATTGTAGACCAGAGGGCGATGCATGAACGGTGTAGGGGAGGGGGGAAACTGGGGAAACGAGTCAGGAAAATGAAGAGGGCGTGGGGGGGGGGGGTGTGGAGGGTGGTAAATTTGAGGCGCCTCAAAACTCTTCTCAGTTCACGTGGAGCAGAGGCAAGAGGGCAAGAGGGAACGGCGGAAAACCGGACAAACGCCTCAAACTGGGAAGGGGGAGGGAAGGGGGGACGGGGAGTAACAAGCTCAAAACATAAAAAAGGGGGGAGGAAGGGGGAGGAGAGGAGACTGGGGGGAAGGGGGCCAAAAGAAGGTTTGGGATCATAAGTGGCGGAGATTTGCAGAGGGGATGGCAGCGGGGGGGGGGGGGAGAGGGGAAGGAGCTAGAGCATACGATAAGGGAAGGCTACCAAGTGAGTGTGGTTTCTTTCCCCAAACATCCACACATACCTCTACCTTTCTCTCTCACACACACACTCACTCACTCGCACACCCACAATCACTCTCTCACACACGCACAAATACGAACGCATGCATGCACACTCACATACACTTCCTCACTCACTCACACACTCGGATGTGCACGTGTGAACGCACGCACGCATGCACGCACGCACGCATGCACGCACGCACACACGCACGCACACACACTCTCTCTCCCACCCACCCACACACACACACACACACACACACACACACACACGCACACACACTCTCTCACCCACAGACACACCAGTATTCTGCGAGCCACTGAACTCCTGTATGGGTGCAACGGCGTGTGCCCGAGGACAGGAGGGGAGCGGGGCGGGGACACGGGGCGGGGGTTCCCGGCGTGGGTCCCGAAGGGTCCGGGGCAGGGGGGGGGGCGGGGCGGGGGCATGGAGCGGGCGGGGACACGGGGCGGGGGTGCAACGGCGTGGGCCCGGGGACAGGAGGGGAGCGGGGTGGGCAGGGCCCGGGGCGGGGGGGGGGTTCCCAGCATGGATCCCAGAACAGGGAGGGAGCGGGGCAGGAGTCCGGGGTGTGGGGCGTGGGGTACGGGGTTTGGGGTGCGGGGTTTGGGATACGGGGTTTGGGGTGCGGGGCGTGGAGCGTGGGGTGTGGGGTGGAGGGAAAGGCGTGGGCGCCACACACATGCGAGCAGGGGAGGTGCCCGTCGCAAGGAGCACGGCGGAAGGAAGGGCGGGAGGAAGGCAGCAGCAGAGCATGCCGGCGTGAGTAGCACGGGGGTTTGGCCGCGTGAGTCGTGACGGCCGGGGAGGGGGATTGGGAGGGGTGAGGGGAAGGGGGAGAGGGGTATGGGGAGGGGGGGAGATGGGGAGGGGAAGAGGGGTCGGGGGAGACGGGGAGATGGGGAGGGGAAGAGGGGGATGCCCGGGGCAAGGGACATGCGGGTGGAAGGGGACAGGAAGGGGCAGGGGGGTGGGGGGGGAGAGGGGGGAAGAAACGGGGAACACAGGGAGTGGAGGAAAGGTGAGTGGTGAAAGGGGGGTGGTGGGTGGGGGAAAATGGTAGGGAGAACGAGGATGTAAGATGGGGATGTGGGATGGAAATCGGGGATGGGGACAAGACATGGGGATCAGGGGTTGGGGATTGGGGGAGGGGACAGAGGACAGGGGATAGGGGACAGGGGACAGGAGAAGGGAACTGAGGGTTGGGGCTTGAAATAGGGAATGGGGAACGAGGAGTGAGTATTGATCTTAACGAGTACCGCAATAGGGGGGATCACGAGAGCGAAGAGGACTGTGCACGTAGTAAAGGAGGGTTGGGGGTATCTTGGTGGAAAATCTAGGGACGGGGAGAGACCATAAGAAAGGGAAAACGATACCGGACGGCATGTTACACGACGAGGGCAAGTAATAAACTATTAACAGTGCATGAACGGTGGTCTTTTATTCCTCTTATTCTCCTTACACCCTCAGGCAGATCTATAACCATATGCGGATGCGTGTGCATACCTCTTATCTAAAGAATAACCACTGAATCTCTGTAGCTACGACTGCGACTGCGATTGCTTGCGAATGCGACTGCGATTGCTTGCGAATGCGATCGATTAGTAATGCGACTGCAAGCGTACCTCCATGTGCCGCTTTCGGTGATGGTGGTCGTCGCTTGAACCCGCCATGTTAGGGTTTGGCGACGGTAATAAAGCACTAGGAGAAATTCGACCAAACCGAAACGCTAAGCAGATGCCTCGTCTACCAAAATGCTGAGCAATGGGCGGACGGACGGAACGGAAGTGCGAAGCGACGCCCTAGAGGAATGTTTGGTTGAAGTGAAGGAATGTTGCAGAGGACGAACAAAAGAGCGGGAAAAAGTTAGCTTTTGGATTTTCTTTTCTTTGTCACGGTGCAGAGTGGTCGAGTGTTTCTTTTGTCCTTAAGATTTAGAAGTTTGACAATGGTTGTAAAAAAGAGTTTACAGAACAAATTCATATTACTCGAGTTTTTGTAGAAGCAACCACTAATATTCATACCTGTACTTTAATCGAATCGTTATCTTGACGTTCCCGCGTAATGACATGAGGAGGACTAAAGCCTAGACGCCTGATTATAAAAGCTGAAGTATACATTTGTAGGCAGGGTTACGGGTTTAGGGAGAGCGCCGGGCAACTTTTCAAATTTCAAAAGATTTTGAACCCCTCCTTTCAAATGTATACCGGAGCTTTAACGTGCAAACAGCTATTTGCCCTCCATGTACTTATACAGCTTATAGCATCCAGCCAGAGCGGCATATTCCCAAGGGTTTCGTTTCGTCAAGCAGACGCTGTGCAGTGCGCGGAGAACGCAAAACCGCGGAAGCGGAAACGCCAACAGTGAAGTGCACTTGACTGGGGCGTTGCGACATATGTAATGCGCTGATGGCTCGGTGCGGAGCGGTTGGCGCAGTCAACTTCCAGGTTCTGCTATGGTTCGGTTGGCTTTGGTACCCTATAGGTTTGGCGGAGGGGTCTCCCTGGTACAAGGGGGTGTAAACCAGCGGAGGCGGAGAGTCGAGCGAGATTACTGTAGCGCGCGAGGAGTTGGTTCAGATGGATGGATCTGGTGTCGTCAGAAAGACGCGACGAGGGTTTCAAGCGAGAGGGAGTTAGCACAGCAAGCTTCTTGACGGCAGCCATGGCTGATGGGTAAAGCGAACTCGAATTCGTCTAGATCGCATCACTCGAGTTTTTGTGAGTGTGATTCGGAGATTAGAAGGTGTTTTGCTAGTTTTTATTTTTTTCCTCTCGGCGTTTTCCGCTGTTTGGTTTGCTAGAATGGACCCGTTAAACTGGCTCTAATGCGCCCATCGGTTTTATCTATTTCGACTTATTCCTCGCGTTTCTCTTTCCAAGACACAGATTCATCTGGTTTCGTTATAAGAATTATAAATGGGAACGTCACAACCGTTTTTTGATTGGGCCGGATTCCCAGCCGGCGTACGCTTCGAGCCGACAGATGTACAGTTATTGGATCATCTCTTAGCGAAGCTTGACGAGGAGCACGCTAGCATAGACGACGATGAACAGACTTTAAAGCCCGGCGTTAAGAGGCAAGCCAGCCGAGGGAAAGAGAACATCGCAGGGGGGGTTGGTAGCAAGCCACGTGTCCAGAAGCCGCGCCGGCAGCAGCACCCGCGAGTGGGGGAGTTTATTCCGACGCTGGGATTCGAAGATGGGATCTGCAGCGTTTATCCGGAGGATTTGCCTGGTAGGTCGGTCGGTCTGCAACCACGGTTCTTCGTGATTTCGCCTGGCACTTGTTCTCGTAATGCGTTGTACTTGTTAGATTCCGTCAGGATCGTTCCTCGCTGGAGCATTGCGACACTAAGAGTCTCTAGCCACTGTTCGCGTTGTGCCGTGGTAGCGAAACATTTGTTACATCGGGTTAAGGTTTCCCTGGATTCAATTTTGACCAGCACGTATCCACGATGTTCTATCTTTATCATCCACAATCACGATCATTCTCTACCTACTTTGTCTTTGACATTTTCAATTGATCAAACATCAATCGCAGCACATTCCCTTGCCTCCATTCTCCTCTTCTCTACTCATGCAGGCATTGTAACGGACGGCACCACTACTTCCACCGTCCATCACGTGCCTATGCCATGGGGCTGCGCAAGAGAGGCATTCCGTGTTGCTTTGCAAGTCGGCTCAAACCACAGCCCTTCCCTTCCCGTTGCGTCACCAACACATTCCCTCTCTTTCCCTCTCTTTCCTTCCCCTCCCCTCTCCTCCCCTTGCAGGGATCCCTAACAAACGGCACCAGTCGGCACTACTTCCACCACCCATCGCGCGCCTAGGGGTTGCCCAAGAGACGCAATATAAACTCCGACCGTCCATCAACGCATCTCCGTCCCTTCGCTTCTCTTCCCTTCCCTTCCCTTTCCCTTTCTCCTCCTGCAGGCATTGTGATCGGCACCACACGGCACTACTTCCACCGCCCATCGCGAGCCTACGCCATGGGGCTGCGCAGGAGGTGCAAGATTTTCACCGACCACCCCTCCTTCACCACATTCCCTTCTGTTCTTGCTTTGCAGGAATTTTGACGGATGGCGCCACCAGCCACTACTTCCAGAAATGCCTTTTCAGTCATCGCAAATATCATCTCCACATTTCCTTCGCTTCTTATCGCGACTCTCCGTCTGCAGGGATTGTAACGGATGGCACCACTCGGCAGCACTACTTCCACCGTCCTTCGCGCGCCTACGCCATGGGGCTACGCAAGAGATACAAACCTGACTGCGAGTGGACTCAGTGTTCAAGCCACCACTCATTCCGTTCCCTTCTCTCTCCTGCAGGGATTGTAACGGATGGCACCACACGGCACTACTTCCACCGCCCATCACGCGCCTACGCCATGGGGCTGCGCAAGAGACGAAAGATCTTCTCCGACCGCCCCTCTGCTGCCAGTTTGCCGCCCGGCGCTGTTGGGGGGGCGGACGCGGGTGGAGGGCGGGAGGAGTGCGGGTACCGGTGGCACAAGACAGGGAAAACTCGACCCGTGTTTGCACGGAACAGAAAGCAGGTCGGGAAGCACGTGCCCCTCCCTCTCCTGCCAACCTCCCACCGCTCCCCCACGTGAAGACTAGATCGGGTGGAACAATTCTGGGTTTGTCTGAACTTTCAATGATATGCGGGTTTCTCATTTGAACAGAGAGGGTTTCTCAGCCGCCTCCCTGTTGCTTCTTCCTTCTTCCTCCTTCTCTCCCCCGTTCCCCCTTCTCTGAACCCCCCTCCGCCCTCCGCACCCCTCTCTCCGGCCCTGTTAAATCCTCAGATCGGGTGGAAGAATTTTCTGGATGGAGCTGTATGCGAGCGCAGAGGGGCAAGAAACGGGGCCGGAGGAGCAAGAGGGCTGCTGAGTCGCCTTACAGGACTCTTTCTTTTTGTTTGCTTCTTGCCTCTTTCGTTTTCCTCCCCCTTAACCTCAGATCGGGTGGAAGAAGATTCGGGCGCAGAGAGATGCGGGCGCAGAGGGGCAAGAGGCAGGGAGGGAGGACAGGAGGGTTCTTGAGCCGCTTCATAGGACTCTCCCTTCCCGCCTGCCTCCTTCCCTTCCTCTCCCTGCCTAACCCCTCAGATCGGGTGGAAGAAGATTCTTGTTCTCTATGAGACGCGGGCAGCACAGAGGGGCAAGAAGCGATGGAGGGAGGGGTTTGCTGAGACGGCTCATATAAGCATCCCTGCTTCTTCCTTCCCCTTTTTTCTAACCCCTCAGATTGGGTGGAAGAAGATTCTGGTGCTCTATGAGACGCGCGCAGCACAGAGGGGCAAGAGGCGGGGGGCGGAGGAGAAGGGGAGCCCTGCAGGGGGCAGCGGGAAGGACAGGAAGACGAACTGGATCATGCATCAGTACCACGTGGGGGAACAGGGCGAGGAGAAGGAGGGCGAATGGGTGGTTTCGAAAGTGTTTTTCCAGGTAAGGGAGCGGGTTTGTCAGGGTGCTCGTACCGTTCTTCTTGGATGGAGAGCCCTGTAGGGGGTGGATGGGGGGAAGGACAGGAAGACCAACTGGATCATGCACCAGTACCACGTGGGGGAGCAGGGCGAGGAGGAGGGCGAGTGGGTGGTTTCGAAAGTGTTCTTCCAGGTAAGAGGATCTGATATTCCTCCACACGCACACTCAACAGAGGCAGAGTTCAGGCACGCGAGCAGGCAGCAGGGAGGGGTCTCTGCCCCCCCTTGGCCAAGGGGCAGACGAGGAGGAGTGTGGGGGCGAGGGGAGGGGGGACATTGAAGCAGTAGGGGAAGCAGGGAGGGGCCTTAGTCTTTGCATGACCTTATATTTTGCACCCCTTTTCCCCTACCTCTCTCCAATGGGCAGATTCAGCAGAGGCAGAGTTCAGGCACGCGAGCAGGCAGCAGGGAGGGGTCTCTGCCCCCTTGCTTGAGACTGTGTGTTGTGCCCCATTTCTCCTCCTCTCCTCTCCTCTCCTCTCCTCTCCTCTTCCTTGCCCCCACCCGCAGATTCAGCAGAGGCAGAGTCAGGCACGCGAGCAGGCAGCAGGGAGGGGTCTCTGCCCCCTGCATGATTCTGTCTGCTGTATCTTCACTCCTTCCACTCCCCTCCACTCCTCTCCCCTCTCCCCATCCTTGCCCCACCCGCAGATCCAGCAGAGGCAGAGTTCGGGCACGCGGGCAGGCAGCAGGGAGGGGTCTCTGCCCCCCCTTGGTCAAGGGGCAGAAGATGAGGAGTGTGGTGGCGAGGGGAGGGAGGACATTGAAGCAATAGGGGAAGGGGAGGGTGGGAGGGGAGAGGAGGAGGAAGGGGAGGAGGAAGAAGCAGTGGATGATATCGAGGATGTTATTGACGAGGATGGGGATGGGGATGGGGGTATAGCGGGGACGCCTAGAGCAGCGATCGCAGGGAGAGGAGGGGGGTTGGGGTCAGGGGCAGCAGGAGGTGCGTTTGTAGCGGCAGGAGGCTCGGCCGGAGCAGCAGTAGGTTCGGCTGTAGCGGCTGTAGCAACAGGAAGGAGAGGAAGGGGTGGGCGGGGAGGCAGGGGAATGAGTCAGGGCGGCCGGGGGGGTTCAAGAGGGGGTAGGGCAGCAAAGGGGGGGGTGCTGGCAACGAGGGGTGCGTTTCAAGCATCGCAGCCATCACCCACGTCAGCCCATGCTGGCTCGTTTGGTGCGGCGTTTCTGCCTCCAGGGCACCAGGCATCACCCTTCCTCCATGGAGCTGCTCCTGTTTCTACAGCAGCAGGTGCTGCTGCCTCTGGTGCTATTTCAGGTGCTTTCTCAGGTGCTGATATAACAACCGCAGCAGAAGCAACGCCAGCAGGGGCGGCAGGCGCAGCAGCAGGGCCTGCCCGTCTTCTCTCCTTTCACAGCCAAGCACCGTCTGGCGGGAACCAGGAGGGGGCTTCATTAGGCACAGCAGGGCCGCATACAGGCCTCCCTGGTGTAGGGTTCACTCCTTTCAGTAGGAAAGGTGGTGTTTCGGCTGGTGCTGCTGGTGTTGGTGGCGGTGGTGGTTCTGTTACTGGTGTTGCAACAGCAGGCGAGATTACCAGCATCACCAGCAACAGCAGCGGCAGTGCGCATGGCAGTGGCAGCGCTGGGGGGATGTTCCTTTCTCCTCCTCCTAACACCCAGAGACGGGTGGGGCTTGGCGGTTTTAAACCCCTTGACACTGGTGCTGCTGCTGCTGGCGCTTCTGCTGCTGGTGCTGCTGGTGGTGCTGGTGGCGCTGGTTCTGAGCCTGTCACTCCAAGCAGCACCGCCATTCCTGTTCCCATCACTCCCCCCTCGGCACACTCTGCCTCGGGTCTTGTGGTGTTGAAACCGCCTGGATGGGATGGAGAAGCGGGGAGGCTAGTCCCGTGCCAACTGCAGCAGCAGCAACAACAGGGTAACCACGCTGCTACAACTTCCCCTGGAACTGAAGCTGCTACGGCCGCAGGGGGAGTGGGTGGTGCAGCAGCAGGAGTGAGCGACCTGAGGGCGTATGAGCAGTCACTGGGAGACAGTGCCTCGGACATTGGCTCACACCCCCACTCACAGGAGGTGAGTGAGTAGTGTTCTTACTAATAATAGTGATCCAATGATAATAGTGATAGTCATTGTAATAACCAATTGTTATTACGATTATCAACATTTCTATATTTAGTTGAACCCGTGTCTCTGCTCTCTTCCCCATCCTGCTTTCCAAGTTTCACACCAGCATTCTGTGCTTTCTTACCATTTCCCCTCTAATATTCGTTGAATTTTCCTTCCCCTCTCTCTCTCTCCTGTCTCCTCTCCCCCACCAGCCTCTTTTCCTCCCCCCACAGGCTTCGATACAAGCAGTTCCACCTGCCCTGCCATCTGCTGCTACTACCAGCCTCCCTGCAACTGCATTAAGGCAATACCTTGCTCAGAGGCAGCAGCGGCAGCAGGGGGCAGGGTACCAGCAGGCGAATGAGACAGGGGGTTACCAGCAGCAGCAGCAGCAGCAGCAGCAGCAGCAGCAGCAGCAGCAGCATACGGCGGTAAGCGAGCAGCAAAGACAGTCGGGGGCATATCAGCAACAGCAGCAGCAGCAGCCGCCTCTGCCTCCGCTGCAGCAGCACGAACAGCAGCAACAGCAACAGGCAGGGCAATCCAGAGAGAAAAGGATGCTGATAGAGGCTGGGGAAAGGGTGACCGGGGGGCTTTTGGGGGAGGTGGATGCAGGGCAGGTGCATGTGAATGGGAATGGGTTGGGGCAGGTGCATGGGATGGGGCCAGGGCAGGTGCATGTGATGGGGTCTCAGGAGGAGAATGGCGCGGCAGGGAAGTGGGAGACGGGCAGCGAGGCAATAACTTTGGAAGAAGCAACTCAGAGGCACAGAGTGGGGCTTCAAGAAAGGGGGGAGGGGGAGCAGGGGGAGCAGCAGCAACAGCAGCAGCAGAAGGAAAGTTACCAGCAGCAGCAGCGACAGCACCAGGAGAATTACCAGTCAGAGCAGATTTTTCCCCAACAGCAGCACGAGAACCAACAGCAGCAAGCAGCAGTCGCAACAGCAGCAGCGAGAGAGCCACAGGAGCAGCAGGGAGAGGGGAGGGACGATGGCCACAAAGGGCATGGTTCCCTGCAGGATGGGATGGAAGGGCTGCCTGTTCTCTCCCAGAACGCTCTCTTTTCCCAAGGCGCCCTGTTTTCCCAGGGTACTCCGGATGATTACCCCTTCCGGTGCCTGGGACAGGAGGAGGACGCTGACGCGGGACACGATGACCAGTGCGAGCAGCACGAACAGTCGACTCAGGACGAGACTCCGGCGACACAGGACGAGACTCAAGCTCACGACGCTCTGTAAGACCTCCTGTCGGACTAGTGTAGGGAGAAGGACCAAGGAGTGGCGAGGTAGGCTGTAACTGTGACTGCGACCGGACAGGCGGAGGACACTTTAAGGAGGGAGCAGGACAAGTAGCAGGCGGCTGACCAAGAACCTGCTGAAGGAGCGGAACGAAGTACGGCCGCGGCCGTGGAGTGCCCCCAGAACCAGTAGAGACAGCACCAGAACCCCCAGCGGCAGCTCCAACTCCTGCAGCACCACCAGCAGCTCCAATAGCGCCAACTCCAGCACCCCCAGGAGCATCAGCCCCAGTCGCACCGTCGGCTCCAGCACCTCCAGTAGGACGAGCGGCAGCGCCTCCAGCTCCAGCCCCTGCAGCACCACTAGCCCCAGTACAAGTAGCACCTCCAGCAGCTCCAATAGCACCTCCAGTCCTAGCAGCTCCAGCACCTCCAGCGCCAACCCCAGGGTCAGCAGCCACACCAACTCCAGTAGGCCCAGCACCCTCAGCTCCAGCTCCAGTAGCACCTCCAGCTCCCACAACACCACGTCGGCGGCGACAGAACCGAGAGTACCACTCACGCAGCTGCTGGGAAGAGAGAGCGCCCCCAGGCGCAGCACCCCCAGGCTCAGGACCTCCAGGCTCAGCACCCCAAGACACAGCACCCCCAGGCTCAGCACCCCCAGTCTCCGCACCCCCAGGCTCAGCACCCCCAGTCTCCGCACCCCCAGGCTCAGCACCCCCAGTCCCAGTACCCCCAGACCCAGCACCACCAGGCTCAGCACGCTCAGGCTCAGTACCTCGCGCAGGACCAGAGTCGACAGCTACCTCGACAGGCTCGACCGGGTCTACCTGGGAAACACCTGAGGGAGCAGGACCCTGGGGAGGCAGGGGGTCTACCGAAGCAGCACCTGGCGTGAGGAAGAGCGGCCGAGGGGGGAGCGGGGCAGTGCGGTAGGGGAAGAGACGGTAGAAGGGGACCGACTCGTCAAACGTGACGTCCTGAGAGGGGAAGACACAGCGCGAGGTGGGGTGGTAAAACTGCCAGCCAGGCGCGTCAGGGACAAAGCCCAGGAAGACACAAGGAACGGCGCGGGAGCAGAGCTTGTCCGCGGACGTATCCCGGACAAAGGCACGAGATCCCCAGATCCGGAACACAGACGCATCGCCAACCTCTCCCATCCAATACAGTGTCGGCGAGGTCTCCGGAACGGAGACACGGGGCCAGAGGTTGAGCTGATGCGCGGCGTACCGGACCGCAAACGGCCACAGAAAATGGGGGGCAGCTGCATGGATCAAGGAGGTACAAGCGACCTCCATGACCAAGCCAATGCGGCGCTCAGCAACCCCATTCTGCTGCGGAGAGGCCGGAAGCGTGAACTTCTACTCAATGCCCTCCCCCTGACAGAAAGCTCTTAAGAGGCCGGAAGATAACTCACCACCTCTATCAGAGTGCAGTCGCAGGACGGGAAGGTCCGTGCGAAAGCGCCTCTCCAGCTAGAGACGGGTAGCGCGGATCCAAGGGATCAAGACATCAGGGACCTCTCCCTTGGTGTGCATGGGGAAGACTGTGGTGTAACGCGTGTAGTCGTCAACTACCAGCAGGAAGTAGCGCTCTCCGCCCTGTCCATGGACGCGGGCTGGGCCCCACACGTCCATGTGAAGGGTCTGAAGAGGAGCCTCCGTCGGGGGGAACTCAGAGGAGTGAGGGGTGGCACGCTGCCGCCCCTCGACACAGGGAAGGCAGGGGACGGTGGCAGGGGAGGCAGTGACCTGGGGAGACCAGAGACAAGGAAACGGGAGTGCATGCCACGAAGGCGCTGCATCGAAGGGTGACCAAGGCGGTGGTGCCAGAGGACCGCCCGGTGCGACAGGGTGCGACACGAGCAGGGGGCGGACAACTGACCTGACGCAGACGCAGACGCAGCTACCTGAGGGGACTCTGTGGTCAATGTGTACAGGTCCGACCCCGGCTGCCGGGTGAAGGTAGCCAGGTGACGACCCGTCTGAGCACACGTGCAGTGTGTCACACGCTCGTAGGCAGGGGTGAACTGGTGAACACCCGCGTCCTGGAGCGCGGAACCCGCCACCAAGTTCGTAGAGAACGAGGGGAGGTAAATACCCGACAGTGTGCCGGACGGGACAGCTGGACAAGGGAGGGCAGTGGTGGAGGTCGCAAGGACCGGACCCCCGGAGGGGTCAGCCAGGGAGACAGCAACAGGCCTAGGGAGCTGCGCTAGGGCAGTGCGGTCGCGAAAGAAACAGCAGGAAGCACCTGAGTCCAGTGTGAAGGTGTGCAGTGCCTCAGTAGACGTAGTACCTGAAGGCGCAGACTCACGAGCACCTGAAGCAGCAGACACACCAGCACCTAGAGCAGCAGCCTCACCAGGACCTGGGGCAGCAGACGCACTAGCACCTAGAGCGGCAGCCTCACTGGCCTCAATGCCTGGGTCTGGCAGGACACACAAGTAACAGTCACCCTCAATACTAATAGTCAATGCATACATGGCTCCAAAGATAACATCAAAGTCAAGAGCAAAGATATCAATGTTCTTTTTAAGCAGATCAGCCCAGCGGGGCAGCTCAGAGGCGTCAGGGAACTGTGCACGCCAGGCGTCGTCGAGACGGGAGAAGCAGTGCTGCGGCATGTGGGACCTCCCACACGTCTGACCAGCGCGGTCACCTGTGCGGATGACATACGTGCAGGTACCTCCACCCCCAGACCCCCCATGCTGAGAGTACCACTCACGAAGCTACTGGGGCGACGGGGTCTCTCCGAGACGCTGCTGCTGCCGCTGGACACCACCCGAAGCTCCACGCTGCGCTGGTCCACCCCGACCACCACCCTAGCCGCCGCCACCACGCCCACTGCCGCCACCACCACCGCCTCCACCCCGGCCTCCTCCACCACCACTGCCGCCACCACCCCCGCCGCTGCCACTGACCCCCCCAGCCCCGCCACCACCCCCACCACCGCCACCACCCCCACCGCCCCCACCGCCTCCACCTCCACCTCCACCTCCCCCGCTGTCACCGCCACCACCCTTGCCCCCCTTGCCCCTGCCGCCCTTGCGCCTCCCACTAGGAGCAGACGCAGCCCCGACTTCCTTTGCACCAAGGTAGTCGACAGCGGCAGCAAAGGCGACCGAGGGGAGAAGGGGGGGAGGGGAACACCCGTCAAAGAAGGGCGTGCGGGGGTCGCCACAAGAGGCACCTACAGCAACTATGTTAGCCTCAGCTGCAAGCAGATGCTTCTTGAGCAGGTCAACGGTGAGCTCGGTGGGGCAGAGGGCGAGAAAGTGGTCCCTGACTGCGCGAAGAGAGTCAGGGAGACGGGTGACTAGGTGGTAGAGAACGAGGTACATCGGGGGCGGATTCTTGGCGAGGAACTCAGCAGGAAGGGCGGCTCGGTAGCGAGTGTCACTAGTGCGGAGGTGTGTAATGAGGTCAGCGACTGTGGGAAAGGCGGCCAAATCGGGAAAGAGATAGGGCAGCGAGAGACGGCCGATCGTAGCAGAGGCAGGCGAGGAGTAGCGCGCGACTACTGCATCGTACAGTGCCTTAGCAGTCTTGTGCTGGCCAAAATGCGCGCGCTAATCTAACGGCCGGTGACTGCAAATGGCTAGGCGAGCGTGAGCGTCACGAGTCTGCCACTGGGAGCGAGCTGTACTGTCAGCAGTCTCTACAAGTGCTAGAGCGGTTCCGGACGCGTGATCATACAGTGAGACATCGTCCTTGGCAGTGATCTGTAGGAACAGGTGGAGGTCGTCGAGCCAAGCATCAAACTGAATCGGACGGCCCTCAGCATCGAAAGAGAGGACGGTGGGACTAGCCATAGTGGCAGCAGTAGCAGTAGCAGCAGTAGCAGTAGGAACAGAAGCAGTAGGAGCGGGCGGAACAGCAGTAGCAGTAGGGCAGCGCGGCTCGGACAGGGCGGCGCGGCACGGTTCGGGCAGGGCGGCTCGGCGCGGCTCGGGCAGGGCGGCGCGGCGCGGCTCGGACAGGGCTATGCGGCGCGGCTCGGACGGGCAGGGCGGCGCTACGGTGGGCCTGCGCGTGGGCTGCTGTTGCGTACGGGCCGCGGCTGCGCGTGGGCTGCAGTCGCGCGCGGGCAGCGAGCTACGCGCTGGCTGCAGCGGCCGGTGCGCAAGCAGCTGCGACGCACGGGCTGCGCGCGGGGCCGCACGAGGACGGCGCAGGCTGCGCGCGGGCGGTGCTGGTCGTGCGTGGGCGGTTAACGGCCTACGCGCGCTAGAAACGGGCCGCGCGCGGGCGGCTAGCGGGCTGCACGCGCTAAAAACGGGCCGCGCGCGGGCGGCTAGCGAGCTGCGCACGGGCAGCGTGAGAGAGAGAGGCGCGCGAGGGCGCACTAGCAGAGAGGCGCACGAGGGCGCGAAAGTGGTAGGGCGCTCGAGGGCGCTTCTAGCAGAACGGTGGGCCCTTAGGACTAAGCGGTCCTAGGTTCC